TAGAATAAAGTCTCAATTGTCCTACTTATTCCTGCTCTGATAATCACACCTCAATTCAAAGCTTTCTCTTCTGGAAGGAACCAACCAGAGCTTGTTCTCTGCTGGCATAGCCTTTGAGATGCAGGGCCATCAATGCTGCAACAGTTAGAATCATTGGTGGAGGACTTTAGCAAAGGGACATATACACATAAAAATAAAATATGAAACGGAATGTAGCCAATGTATAAGAGAGTGGGTGGGGGTGGGGGGGAGTTCCAGGCAAAAGCACAGAGGTAAGAAAGTATGAGATGGTTTTGGTAATTAACAAGAGTTCAACTGGGACTGATATAGAGAGTACCTGGGAGACGGTGGGTAAAGGATCAACCATATGCTAAAGTCTCATCCAATTCTATGATTCTGGGGCTTTAAGAGGAGAAGGGACTTTTTATGCTGTGTGGAGTACATTCTGGAGTGATTAAAGAAAGGCTTCATGTCAAGAGGGAATGGAGTTAGGCCTTGAAAAGCAGTAGGATTTGGGATGTTGGGGAGAAAAGAAGGGAAAAGATATTCTAGGTGGCATTGGGGGAGGGGGATGTAGGAGGAAGGATGTAAGAAGAGGAACAGAAGAGGAAAGAGAGAAGGAAGATGGAAGAGGAAAGAAGGGGGGAAAAGAAAAGAGGAAAAGAGAAGAGGGAACAAAGTATAGTTAGAAGACCAACCTGATTGAGAGTCCCTCCTACGGTAGCAATAAATCTATATCATTCCAGTTTTGTAGATCTGGTATCCAAAAAACACCCATTGACTAGATTCAATTAAGCTTATCAGAGTTATCAACTCTCTGGTTATTTTAACTTTTACATTTTTTATGAATTGGTAATTATTTGTAATTATTTTAAATAGTGATGATATTAGTTGCCAAAGTGGGGTTGGACTAAATGATCTCTAAGCTCCCTTCTTCTACTAATAGTCTATGTTCCAATTCCTAAAGTTTTTTTTTCTAGATTGAAATCAAATCAATGCAAGTCATTCCCTAGCTTCTTTCAGAATTCAGCTCTAGAAGTCACCTTCTACAGGTTTTTTTTAGATATCCAAAATGCTAACAACTTTCCTTCAGTCTAATGCCAATTTCTATCTACTTTGTATTTATGATAGATAGATAGATAGATAGATAGATAGATAGATAGATAGATAGATAGATAGATAGATAGAT